TGGCCATCCAAGTATCCAAAGTATGTAAGTAGACCGTAGTACAAGCAATTACGATTTATTTATTAAATTAAATGTATTGATTATTCATGCCGAGGTTTATAGAAGGTCGGTCTTTTGGGTATTTACGAACTAATTGGGAGCATAGATTGTTCGGTTGTGGGCCAGTAAGTGCCAGTGATCTCTGTTGTTCCTCTGTAACCGTTTTAAGACATTCTCGGGTTCCCACTACAGCTGCGGAGTGAAGGAACGGTTGCTTTTTTCTCTTCAGTTGGTCGGCTAATCTCAAGAACTCTTCCAAACTCGAAGAGATTCCTGAGATTAGCCGACCAACTGCATAAATGGCATCACATTATTCAGTCGAATAACTACAGCAATCGCTCTGAATGTATCCTTGTCATATGATGCAAACTTTCATCTAACACTAATTGGGAACTGCTCAGTAGTAGCGTTCATCTTGTTGGGAACGAATGAGAACTAAAAGTGACTTCATGTAGATTAGAATGAACGTTCTTCGCTCGGTTTTTCTCTAGTCCTAACCTGGCTTGCCACTGCTTCGTAGCCGGTCTGTTTGCCACATGAAGCTGGTCAATTCTTTCTTTTCTCTTTTTCTCTATACATATTGAAAACTTCTCTGCACATATTAAATGGACTGTTTTTGTGAGAGATGGATAACGAAAAGGATATAGATAAGTGCATTAAATTTTTATATTGATTTGGCCCACTACTCTATAACTTTAGACGTTTCTAGAAAAATTTTATTTAGAGGTTAAAGACCAGTTTAGCCAAAAAAAGATACCAGCTTTTCCCCGGCTGCTTTCGAGAATATTTCAGATGCGTGAGTGTTTAATTAACGACGCTGAAGTAGTTTCAGTATAGAAAATTGAGCACACGTTTTATCTTCGGCTCCACATAATGTCATTGTAACTAAGAATGTTTTATCCATCTCTATCTGATATCTTGTAAAGCTTGCGGGGACGAATACGTTGGCGAAACGGGTAGACCACTTTGCGTACGGTACGTATAAAAGAACACCTAGTCGGTAAATCTAAATTAGAACCGAACACTCCACTAGGCGCGCATAGGTTGCAGGAACACAATGGAGAAGATTTTGAAGTAAGGATTACGATCCTTGCACAAGAATCGAGAACACAAACGCGCAAAACTCTAGAGGCATTCTGGATTAATTCCAAGAATCCGAAAATGAACCGCAGGGAGGAATGCTCCATTATCACTCGTATATTGGACAGTGTATAAACCTGTTATTCTGATGGGAGGACACATTTCGCTTCCATGTGAATTCTGCGCGGTTGGTCTCCACGTGACATACTTAGTGGAAGACTCATGGGAAGCGGTTAGTGTGCAGAGACTCTGTGTTCAATGTGATTGAAATTTTGGTTCAGCATTTTCTCTGTTTGGTTATGGAGGTGTTTGGCAGTATAGATTGTCGTCAACCTGGCCTTTCTTGGCTCTGTGGAAGGCGAAATCCGCCGAAACGTTAGCTTGTGCTTAAATAAAGAAATAAAATAGCACCTTGTGGTTGCTGAACAAAAGCAGAAAGAATTATTCAATCAACGCCGAGGTTAATAGAAAGTCGGACTTGGGAGTTACTATAAGAATGTTTTATTTCGAAACCGGTTTTTCTTTAATCTAGGCGTGACTAATCAATGTGTATTCTTTCATTGATGAGCCTACCCGAGGTTGATAAATATATCTATTTTCAGTTAACGTTTCGACGTTTTCATCTTCCACGACCGACTTCCTATTAACCTCGGCATTGATCAAGCGACTTTCTTCGTATTTTTGTTGAGCAAACGCGAGGTGTTACTATTCTTTGTTCACGATTAAGCTGACGTTTCGGCGGATTTCGCCTTCTTCAGAGCCTGGAAAGGTCGAGTTGATAGCAACTCACTCGGCCAGACGCCTCCATAACCAAACAAAGAAACTCCAAACCAAGATTTCAATCACTTTGAACACAGCTTTGCACACTCACCGCTTTCTATGAGGTTTCCACTAAGTATGTCACGTAGAGACCAACTGCACAGAAATCACGTGGAAGTATAATGTGCCCCTCACATCAGAAAAGCCGTTTTATATACTGCCCTATATCACGCGTGATAATGAGGCATTCTTCCCTGCGGTTCATTTTCGGATTTCTGGAATTAATCCAGAGTGCCTCGAGAGTTTTTCGCGCCTGTGTTCTTGATTCGCGTGCGAGGATCGTGACACATACTTCGAAGTCGTCCCCGTTATGTCTCTGGGTCCTATGCGTGCCTAGCGGGGTATTCGGTCTATTTTTGCCGGCAAGGTATTCTTTCATGCGGACACAGAGGGGTCTACCCGTTTCGCCAATGTATTCGTCACCACACGTCTTACAGGAGATCAGATAAACTATACCCGAGCTCATGCAATTACCGTCTCTACCACTGGGGCAAATTATGCAATTTTGAGTTGCACATAGACGGTCATATAGGCGGTTACGAACTAGCTGGCGCTTAAGATTGCTCGGTGGTATTTCAACTACGCTCACCGAATTCTCTTAGCCCGCCCTTCTTAAGCAGCGTTTTATAGCTGTACTTATACCATTTGAGATGAAGGGTAGGATAAACGGAACCCTTCTATCGCTAGAATTGTTAATAGTCGTGGTTAAGGTTAATAGAAAGTCGGTCGTGGCAGTTAGTGCAAGATGTACCAGCAAGATACTTCCGACTTGTAAAAGAAGCGCTGTCACTGAGACAAAAGATCGTCTTAGCTCGACAGTCAATACACTTTCTCCGCCGCTGTCTAAAACATCAAGTCGTTCCGAACTTCATCAAACGAAGACAACTACACCACGTATGCGGACTACCGGAGGACAGTCACCGAGTATTGGACGTCGAATTGCGAATACTACGCACTTGTCTACTAAGCCGACAAAAGCAGATGTTCGCTAACTGGAAGAAGTGCGAGACGAAGGAAAACTTTTGTGCTCAATATTTGGAGGACCGCCTCTGGAGGAGAATAGTGGGCGAAAAAACGATGCTTAAGAAGAGCAGATCTGGAGGAATCGGTAGCGATAATTGAAATGCTATCGAATACTCTTTGGCGTCAGTTAGTTCGTAACCGCCTATACAACCCTCTATGTGAAATACGGAATTGCGTAATTTGCCCTTACGGTAAGGACGGTGATTGCATGAGTTAAGGTATTATATACCCGATTTCTTGTAGTACTTGAAGAGACGAACATATTGGCGAAACGGGCAGACCTTTGTGTATCCGCATAAAAGAGCATGTCGATGGCAAACGAAAAGCAAGACGAAGTATCCCACAAGGCACGCGTAGGATACAAAAGCATAGCGGAAACGATTTTGATGTAAAAGTCAATGTCCTCGCACAGGAGACTAAAACACCAACGCGCAATTGCTTGAGGCTTTTTGGATAAATGCCGAAAACCCTACAATAAATACTAGGGAGGAATGCCCTAAGATCATACGTGATCTCTCCCCGTACCTTCGTCTCGATCGTTGATGTGGGGTGGTGCAGTTGTCAACCATATGCGACTCTGAGCGGCTGTATTTCCTCAGTGGAAGACAGGTGTAAAAAGCAGTGCGTTTCCGCGAAGCCGTCGATCTTGCATTTATCGTTCGGATTTCCATCTTTCTGTTTGTGCTGTTAAAGCGTTAGACCTAGTAAGTTGCGTATTAGTGTACTGTTCTAGGCTCTGACGAAGGCGATTCTGCCGAAACGTCAGCTACCATGTGTCGTATGTGTTCTATTTGTATGGAAGTAAACTCATGCTGAATAACAACCTCGCGATTGCTGCAGAAGAAAGCGAAACTAATACAATGCCAAGGTTAATGGAAAGTCGATCTCGAGTTGTTAACCTTGGAAGCTTTCACACCGAGATGAGTCGGGGACAATGATGCACCGCACGAATGAAGTAGCATCATCCAGCAGAACCCTTTTATGTAGCACTCTAGCAGCGCTGAACTGACTTGATCTCACCGATAAGTTCCACAAAATTTAGTAGTGCCATTTGACAACTGTCAAGAAAAATTATTTCTCCAGGGATTATTAAGCGAACAAGATGTTGATAAAGAAGATGTGTCCGACTAGCGTTTCGACGTCTTCATCTTCCTCAGAGCCGGTGACCCGAGTTAGTGATCCGGAGTCGTTCGTTTTCTCGTTGTGGTGTTTTCGTCGTCGTCTTCTTCAGTGGAGCACCGTTGGAATGAGCCAACCTCGCCCGGGTGCGCTCTCTTACACAGGATAGTTCTTGTTGGTAATGATTGTCCATTGATAATAACTTATTTTTACGAGAATTATTTCCTTTATTGTGGCGATCCATCTTGCCGCAGTCGGATTATTATGAGCTGGCACCTGGTAGAACAATAATGCCAATTCTGACATTCACTGAATCTCGGCATAAAGCAAAAAATTGTAGCAACTTCGTGAAGACTCATAAATAAAGCAAGGAGACAAGCAGGACTCATTGTGATAATTAGAATTGAAACAACAGTCAATTGCTGGTCAAATTCCCACTCAGTGAACTCTTTTGAAAAGTTCGTTTTCATGAATGTTCTTAAAACAGAATGAATAGCATAGAATAGAGATTTTTTCAGCCGTAGCCCGCTACAACATTCGTGTTTCGTAAGTTATGGATTGACTACAAAAATTGTAGGAGAAGGTATTTGTACGCACCAAAATAAACCATTAGAAGCGAATTTGGTAAACAATCAAAGCCTCGGAAATCTGTCTTCCTATGTGTATGTTCCGGTCGGTTACCTTTTGTGGCTCGGTGGCCCTACGTAATAAATAGGCAGAAAAGGTGACCACGGGCAATCATTAGATTTCGAATTCGTGCTTTGTTAATTCCTCGCTTAGGTTCTTTTGGTTTCTTGCCCGGCTGTCACAGTATCGAACATCTCTACACATTTACGTATTATCCTACAATCCACTTGATTAACTCTTATCACTCTCTTCAAAGTCACACTCTCTCGTCAAACTACGGCGTTTTCTTTCACCCTATCACCGAAACGTTTTCTATAACATTTCTCGCCGAAGCGGTTGCCTCTCATTTTCCCTGTACTCTTCATGAACAATACGAACATATAGCGATAAAAATTCCGCTGTGTCACTGGGCGTCGTGGCGGGCGCCTGTGAGCCAGCTTCTAGGCAGTAGATCGGCGTGGATGGAGTGAGGGGAGGAGTCCCGCGGTGGCCGCAGAGTGCGGCGACCGGGCGTCCGCGTCAAGCGTCGCGTCGCCAGGGGTGTGCAGCCGGAGGGTTGCGTGTCCCGGGCGGTCAAGGAGGGGTGCACGGCACAGGCCCGAAAGGGAGCAGGCAAAAACCCCCGCGCGACGCAGTGGCCGGATCGCGCCCGTGAGCACCTGCACTGTCGTGGCCTCTCCGACACCTTCAGACCGGCGATCGTTTTGCTTCTGCATCGAACATCCATCAATGTATATATCTCAACGAGTACTGTTTGTGCAAACAGTGCACACCGAAAAGGATATTTACATAATTACATAAGTAGGC